GTCGTGAGCGCGCAGGCAGCGACGACGCGACGCGATCGGAGAGGAAAAAAAAAGAAAGGAAAATTCCGCGAGTTTAATCGATCGTATATCACGGACGGACAGGCGACAGGAAGTGGCGTCGATATCCCGACGTAAATCATCATTACTTTACAGGACGTTTATCAGCCTAAAACGTATCTACCCGCGTGCCACATCCGCGCGGAATTATCGCGAAGATTTAGAACGCCAGAAGACGCGAATTTCACGGCGTGCCGGGATTATGGGTCGCGCATAATTAAAGAGAAATTACTTTCTTGATAGATAGATACATGGACAGGTGTATATAATTTATCTAGAATTTTTTCACGCCACCACATGCACGCATACACGCGAAGAAATTGATAGCGGTGACAATATCGTAAGTAATTGAATCTTTTCAATTTCACACGCGCGAAATATTTCTTCTGAAAGGGCGCAATAAGGGACAAGGGGGAGGGCGTTGGCAGGCATTCCTAGGAAAAATCCCGGTTGATCGGATGTAAATTTGAGAACGTTCACCATCCATCGGTTTTTCCTATAATTAACGAGCTGTCGGTAAACAGCCAGAAATTGGCGCGTTTCGCACCGTTTTGCGCCGAGGGCACAGCTTTAAGAAGATGGGCAAGCGCCGCAGTCTAACCTGTAATTAGGACACCTTGGGTGTGATTCTAATTAAGGGTTTCGGCTGATCATAAATCTCTACCTCGTACGAGGGTCATGTTTGAATGAACCCGGAGGAATCGAACCCTCTGGACCGTTTAGGAAATCAAATCACTCCCGGCCATTACGATAGACCGGTCAGACAATAACACTGTTAGAGACGTCAATGTGGACGAAGAAAACGATTAATATTATACAAACAAATAAGAAATAAAAAACAAAGAAATGTTAAAAAGAGACTTATTCAAAATGGACCAAATAATCTATTAAATTAAAGAGAAAAACAATAATCAAACCAATATAATGTTTTAAAACAATTAAATTATAGATGGCATTAATCGGCGGACAGGGTCTTAGTCGAACAACTTTTCTTCTTTCTTGAACTATGAAGGAGAAAAAGTTACATGTCGTATATCAAATACTCCATAACAATTTTACGCACGATACGTGACTTTCCCCTTATTGACGCATGTAGATATTCAGTTTTATGGCGCATCGGGGGGATCGTTCCTCCGATCGAATTATACGTCGCTTCTAGCGCGTGTTCTTGCGCAAACGACGACGATGGCACGTCTTCGGGACCCGAGCACGGGGAAAAATCGTGTGTGCACCTTCGGAATCGAGTATGTACCTTGCGGCCGGAGGCGGGTAACCGTACGCATGTAGCCGACGCCGCAAATGCATCAAGCCGCGTGTACGCGCGAATAGTCGCGCGAGTAAGCCCCGCGTCAGTCAAAACGCGCGCCATTATGTTGTAAATCATCGGTGATTGTCTGAACTGGAACTCACGGCGGCGAGATGCGTTGCCGGCTAGTAATAATCAATTTATGCACTTCATCGGCCGCAATAAATTTGTTATTAGCCGCAGCCGCTGCCGCCACCGCCGCCACCGCATCAGCCTGATCTCGGCGGATCGATGGCCAGGATCGGATGAGAAAGACGAAAGATCCCGACAAGAAGAGAGAGGAAGAGAGAAAGAGAGAGAGAGAGAGAGAGAGAGAGAGAGAATGAGAGCAATTATAGTTAATTTAGTTCGTAAAAGTTAAACCAAAACGTAAGTAAATTTTTAACCGTACGTACATTACTATTACTACGCGCGTCACGTTCGAGATGCGAAGACGGTTGTCTAAAAAAATAAGACGAGATTTTTCCCGCATCTTCTCGGTCCGATCCTGAATCGATCGTATCTGTGATGCAAAGATCTATAAATAGATCCCTAGATCACACGAGCCTCGCACACACTTGCGGGTAACGTCTCGGGCGCATGTATTTGTCGTCTTACCACGCGAGAGACGTAATATCGCGCTGATGGACAACGCGATGGTGTCGATGGATCGATCGATTGATGATCCTGGAGGCCCGGCGCAATCACGCGCGGGTTTGTTGGACGCGAAATCATCGGGGCTCTCTCATTAGTCTTTGTTATATAATTACGTAATGGCAGCTCGATTGCGAGGACCTCACCTTATGGCAAAGAGTCATCGTCGCGTGAATAGTAAACGTAGGTAGCTGTGCGACTTTGTTATTATTACTTTAACGTATTATCATGATAATGGAAATTTATCATTTTCATAATTTATTTCCGATCTCGTATAAATATATGTCACTTACTCTTGTTCGGAAACATAACAATTCATATATCTATTCTACTTTATTAATGATCGCACATCGACATTTGGTACAGCGAGATACCAGATCAATTTTCATCTCGATTCGTGTCGCCTCATTGACGAAATTAGAGTATCTGTCAATTTCACCATCTAAAAAAATTTAAGTCACGGTTGGAAGCTAATCTAAAATTTTTCCCGAAGATTCACAGTTTGTTGCGCGAAGAGAGCCGCAAAGAGCGTTTTCGGTAAATTAAAATCCGCCAGTGGGCGTAAACCCTTCGGATTCATCGGAACGCGAACGTTCCTTTCCCTCTGTGGGTTGGGCAAATGCGATCGGCTCATTTGGTGCGTATTAGTAGAGGATAATGAACTTCTTGAAGCCGCCGCCTTTTGCGAGAACGGCTTCCCGAATTCCCGACAAACGAAGGAAAACGAATGGAGATACGCCTACGGGAGCCCCCGCGCCTTCTCTTTTGGGAAAAGTGGATTAGAGGCTGCTCTTTCTTCGGACGGGTTAACGTCGCACATGCACGTTTGTTTAAGCGTCACGTTACAGAATGTAACAAAGCTCAAATTTGTCGTTCGTGTTATATCGTGGCTTTTAAGTAAAGCATAAACATAAAGTTCGATTATTAACCTACTGCCATTAGCGCGAGCGTGTCATGTGATTGTTCATTGCATTATAGCGATCCAAGATCGATCGCATGGGTCTAAACGAAACGACAAGCACGAGCCCACTAAAACTGCACACCAATATCGCAAAAATAGATACGTCCGAATAGGAAATGTCAATAGAGATGTTTTGCGGTGCGATCAGTGATATGCGATGCGTTTGGCACGATGCGTTTGGCACGATGCGTTTAATCAGCGTCATAAATATGCTAAAATGCATCACAATGTGGCCTGATTATCGATAATTGCGAGATCTAAGCTGTCGAAAGACGTCATTCGTTATACATTTACTTTATACTATTTATCATGCGCATATAAACACACCTTACGAAACGCCTCGTTGCATAGCTAAATTAAGGTAAACGTTAGTCAGTTTTATCAATTTTCATTAACGCGATTTAAATTAGTGACAACTTTTATGTTTAAAAATAAAATAAAGAGTACATAAATATAATAAATATATATTTATCAAAATAGAATAGAGAATATCTATCGTAGTATCGATCAAATTTGTCGCTCAAATATCCATAGCGAAGACCATCCCCGAATTTTCGCAGCCTTCCGAGCTATTCGATCTGATTTAAGAAACGTTCGTAAGAAACACGTAGGCTTTGAAAACCTCGTAAAGCGATCAGAGTTGTCGACACTTCCCAGCCCCACATTTAAAGTCTCGTAAAGCACAGCTAGGGGCCTCGCAGAAAAAGCGGAGACTGACGGCTGCAGGTAAATAGGGAAACACGGGCCAATTAAAGCTGCGAGAAAATATTTTGCCAACATACACCTCGGATGACACAGCGCGTGTTATGTCACGATGTATTTTAAGGCCAAGGTATTTTACACTCGGCGGTGATTTAACGTGTTTTAACACTATTAATAATTCTAGTCAACGCTCGTTAATTTCTGCGCGGTATCCTTTCCTCGCATCACAATACTTCGGTTTTAGCGGAATGGTTGCGCTACCAATTAGTGTCAGTTAGCTCTATCCATTTTTATCGCGCATCTTCGTAATTCAATAAGGACCCATATCAAGAAAGTTTTACTAATACCATTTATAAATCATTTCCAGGTGAGTGTTAATAGGTTCTAAACGCTGCCAAACGCTTTCCCTAGTCCACGTTTGACATCGGCGACCTGGAAAGTTTCGCAAGGAAATTATTTTTGCATCTTGCGAAACGTATTGTATTCCATATGCGTGCCACGTATCCATTAATACAACACCTGCGTTTATTGTATATACATATGATATATTGACAATCAAAAATGTCACGATCCTTTTACCTTTTGTTAAGTATTATGCAAGAAAATTTCACATTTTTTTTTCTAATCTTCTCCTCTAGTAGTAATGACTTCGGTAGTACTACTTTTTAAGAAATAATTACAGAAGTAACTCAGCAAAGATAATGTACCAATAGAAACAAAAACGGTGAAATAAAATAATATTAAATAAAACTCCTATGTGCAATCTTTCTCTAAGAGAAATTAGAATGTCACGAGAGATCGCGCAAGAAAGGGGAGAAATAAAATCTAATTAGCGCAAGAAGAGAACGCGGGGGACGTGAGATCGGAGCTCGACGGCCGGCGGCCGCGGTATCTCCAATGTCAAGAACGCGGCGCCCGGTCGGTGCGTGCCACACGATCGGGCTTTTCTTTTTTTCGAGCCCGATCGCCTTTTGACTCCTTAGAGGGCCCGGAGAGGAGCCCCCAGCGAAGAGAAGACGAAGGAAGACGAGGGGCGTGTCTGGTCGCGCGGCTTCTACAAAGAGATGCCCACTTCCCAGTGGACCCCTTCCACACTTGAAGAGACCCCCTTCCACACTGGTCCCAGGACTCCGTCTCGCCGTCCTCCCCACCAGCGGGCCCCAAGAAAACCGGGCGGCATGGTCCAGACCACGAGATCGGCAGGTAAAGGCAGTTTACGGAACGCTTCCGTACACGAAGCACATTCGGCGAAGAGTCTTAGACGATAGTCTGACGAGAAAACTGACGGACGTAACTTCAAACGCTCCCGAAATCATTATCCCTTGCACCTTAAATCCGACCTTTGTATCATCCCTAGCGACGTTTCCATCGGTATCGATCGATCGGTCGGTCATCGCAAAATTCTACAGCGAAGGCAATGACAGTTGGCTGAGAGCTTTCGCGACCAGAGACACGTTATGATATAAGGTTGCTGACAGCCGAGGATCAATCGTCCGACACGTGCACGCATGAGGATGACCTCCTACGTGGCCTTCCAGCAATACGACCTCCTGGACTCCGAGGGCTACGGATCGGCGAGCAGCCCGGAATCGAACCCGCGTGGCAATTGGCATCACCAGGAGATCTACCCGCAGCCGCCGCGGTCCAGGGGCAGCAGCTGCGGCAGCGTCAGCTCCGTGGACAGTCATCATCAGCAGGAATACCAGGAGATCGGTGGCTGCGGCCCCAATGGCAGCCTCCACGTGACCGCCGGTTTCAACTTCGGCGATTTCTACGAGGGCTACTATCAGGAGGGTGGTTGTCGGAACGAGCATCAGCCGGCGTTGAATGGTGACGGCGCCAGAAACGTCACGGATCTTCACGCCAAGTTGATCTTCAGAATGAACGAGCAGTGTGCGACTTACGATGACGCTGCGTCTAGAATGGCCTTCAACGAGGGTGCCTCGTTGAAGCAGGATCCAACAGGATACGTCCAGAAGATGGACCATCATCCGACCGGGGCATACGCGAACTCGAGGACCGACTTCGGTCAAAGTCAATCTGTCTTTCCTACGAAGGGCTATACGAAGAACGGTGCTTATCATCCACGGAACGAGAATCATCGTTACACTCAGAGAAGTCACCCTTACGCCGCTTACACTGTGCCGAGGAACGAGGCTGGTCTGCCAAGCGGCCAGCCGAACAAATGCGATCAGTCGAGGTACCATCCGAGAAACGATGCTCTTCACGTCGTCTTGCCAGCGGAATACGCCAGCCAGAAGTCCAAGGAGGCGGTGGTGCAGAAGATGAAGAACAGCGCGCCTGGCGTCGAGGTGCTGAGAAAGAGAAGACTAGCGGCGAACGCCAGAGAGAGAAGAAGGATGAACAGCCTAAACGACGCTTTCGATAGGCTGCGCGACGTCGTGCCCAGTCTGGGCAATGACAGAAAACTCAGCAAATTCGAAACGCTGCAAATGGCGCAGACTTACATCGCCGCGCTCTACGAGCTTCTGCAGCGCAAATGAACACACTCGAATCCGGCGACTCGGATCCTCTTCCAAAAAGGAGAACAGTGTCTTGTTCGGTACTGTGCCTTCCTAAATATCGCTGCGATGACCTAGAGTCCTTAAAGATCGCGGAACATCGAACGTAGAAGCTGAAAAGCCTTCATGAGAATCCGTCCTGTTAGGAAGATTGGCAACGACAATGAAAGAGACTCTTTCGAGTCTCAAGGCTGCGAAGTTAATCGAAATCGGGATTGACATTTTACATCTTTGTGGAATTCCGAAGGACATTTCTGAATCCTCGCTCAAGCTTCCTCCGTCGAGTCCGGAGAGATGCAGATTGAACACGATCGCTGCTCCATTCTTCGAACGGGAACGACGAGGCGCGTCCTTACTTCGACAGACTCCGAGACGTCCGCAGGTAATGACGAATTGTCGGGGTACGGAGAACGAGACAGCTCGCTCACGAGGAGCATGAATTGACGAGCGAACTGGGAATCGAGACTTCATTAACTTGTAAACGAGTCACTCGACCACGGCGGCATCGACCGTGAACGGTATGTAAGCGGAAAAATATAATACCAGCGTCGTTATCGATCAAGATCTTCTAGATCTTCTACTTACAAACTCGATCTAGCCGTTAAATATTAAAAAAAAATTTGATTAACACTCCTTTATTGTTATTATTATTGACATATAATATATTAATTTGACGTTCTTAATATAAAATAAATCCAAACTAAATGTATACGATATT